ATACAAATATGCGAATCCGCATCACTGGAAAGAAAAACAAAAGAAAGAAAAATAAACAAATTAAAATGGTTTCTTCATCAAGGTCTAGTTTGTCCATTTATGAAGGAGCTCAAATGGAACCGCAGACATGATTTTTGTTATAATTCTCTACCACCCAGACCGGAGGACAAACTTGAAACTTGAAGTTGTGTTTGTTGGGGTGGCCGTTGGGACCAGCAAGCTAAAACCCCCTCCCTCCCCCGGAGCGCGATACGGAGCAGGGTGAGGCGCATATCCAGAGCCAGCTCCCCCCCCTCCCCCCCCCCTCCTCCCTTAGGCGTTGCAAATCTGACCACAACTCTGACTTTCTAAATAGTTCTTTATAAAAAGTTCTCAGGTTGTGTAATACTTGTGACTATTAAACTGAAGCCATTAAATTATTCAACTCTTTGGCTTTACGACACAAAATTTGTTTAAATACTCCCAAAATACAAAATCTAGTTTTTGCAACAGTTGTGTCTGTAAGCTACCCTTAATGAAATACTACAAAGTGACATCTTTTTTGCAATATTGTGCATTTTGAAAAAGGTGAACTCAAATGTAACAAGTTGCATGTGTAAATATTTTAGTTGCCAATAGTTAAAATACCAGACAACATATTGGAGGAAAACAAGAATTTGAATTTTTTCACTTAAAAAAAAAATATATATATATATATATATATATCTAGTTTGATTTGTGACAAGTTGCTACTGCACACAAGGCTATAAAAGCCTAAAATTTCATGTTCATAACTAAGTCTTCCGCTTTAGTTTTCAAAGTCGGCTCTTTAGAAGCCTTCATTCCGAATAGATGTTCAGAGATATAACTCGTGACCTGGTCTTGCATTTGTAAAGGACTGCTAACACAGGGCATTTTATGACTGACAGTTTAGGTGAACCATTTTTTGCAACACATCAGATGGCACGAAGCATACAACAATATGCACACATGGTTTGGCACTTACTCAAGACAGATTTAAATTAATACATTTATTTCAAAACACCAATTCTTCATCCAAGGACACCTGCAGCACCTATTGGAACAAGACACATTAGAAACAAGGCTTTAGCACAGACCGCAAGAAATACCCAAATACTCACCTGCTAGTGTCCCAGATGGCAGGAGCTAACGCGCCGCCAAATGGTCTCCTGATGATGACGACTGCCACTGTGGTTTAAAAGACATGCTCTGCCGTGATTGAACTGTAGGTCTGCTGTGGCTTCCTGACGCTCTCTTCCTTCCGGTCCACAGGTTCCTTCAGCCGTCTGATAGCGAAGCCACCAAAGCGCTGAGGGATGTCGTAGGTTCTGGTTGGGGCAAAGCGCTGAGCAGAGGTTCCCACTCTGCTGCTCCCGGAGGCAGGGAGGTTATGAGCTCCCTGGGCTTGGTTTCTACTGCTCCAGGATGCGTAGAGAGAGCTCGTACTGCTGGGGATCTGCTCAGTCGAGGTGTAGCTGGGTTTGTAGCTCAACCTCGTATTTGTGGGCATCTCTAGACTGCGTGAGTGGAAGCCAACAGTTGGAAGAGATTGGCTATGACTTAGATGGTTTATAGCCAAGCTGGATGTGGAAGAAGCCTTGTAGTGTCCGTTGGCATTTCCTTCATTCACAGGAAACAGTTTGCTTTGGTATTGTTTCCCACTGTCAATCTGGCTCGGGTTATTTTGAATTCTCTCATTTTGATGAGTTGAGGAACCACCAGGTTTCGACGCTTTAGAGCTATGACGAGAAGACACTCTAGCACGGGCATTGGCTGAGGTCTGCATCTGTGCAGAGTTTTTCTGTGGCGCAGGAGCAGCTGCGCTAAACAGACTGGAAGACTTCATAGAAGAGTGGCCTCTTTGCCAATTGTAGGCTAGTGTTTCTGCAGCAGCACTGGGAGCCTGCTGTACTGCTGACTGGCGGGAGCTTTTGCTAGGACTCCAAACAGATGCAGAACCACTGAACAGGTAGCTGCTAGCATGCGGTGTAAGCTGCTGGACTGGCCAGGTTCTCTTGCCGACATAATTATGGTCATTCTGCTTCTCACTGTACTTACTGACAGAACTTTCACCAACAATAGATGTAGAAAGGCCAAATAACTGCTTTTTTGGCACCTTTTGTGCATTAACTTTATTCAATTTAGTCATCTGCCAGTTAGGTTTCAACAGTGAGCTGCTCTGCACAAACCTGACTGAAGGGTAGCCACTTTGAGCTGGTTGTGAGAGAGTTTGTGTGTAGTCACGACTGGAAAGTCCCTGGCTATAACCACTGTTAACTGCAGCATCTGTGTTGAAGCCACTGCTCTGGGATGAAGCCTGTCTGAGTTGATTCTGGGGATAGTTGCCACCAAGTTGTCTTAGTCCACCATCCTGTTGCGACAAGCCAACATATATGTTGCCATTTTGTCTGTGGGAGCTCTGAGCTGCAAGAGATACAAGAGTAAGTCTACAGCTTAGAATTCACAGTGCTAAGTGACAGTGACACATTTGTCTTCAGTTCACCTTGTGAAGCCCATAAACAGCGTACATGCTCTGCTTGAACTAAGCACATCATCAAGATCCTGCAGATCCAGAAGACATCAAGGTCAGAAGAAATGGGACAGCAACTCAACACATACTTAGAATAGCAGCAAAAAAACTCACCCCAAATGAACTCCACAAGCCATTTCTGTGTGCCAAAGCGTGCAATCCTGTCACAGAAACAGTGGCCTGACTGCCCTGAAGCTACTTGCTCTGTGTGTGTGTGTGTGTGTGCAGCAGAGAGGCAGCATTTACTGCAGCCTGCATCCAATCACAGCCTAATGAGCTGATTGTCTACAGGTGCCTGCTGTTGGGGTTTCAGTGTAACTTAAATAAAAGTACATTTTCTTCTCTTTCTCTGCCACCTTTCTCTGCCCTGTGTTGTCAAATTGTGTGCAAAGAACTGTAGAGTCAAAGCTTTATTTTGCTAGAAAGAGCTTTTCACACAGTTAACAGCTCTTGCCTGCTTTGTTTTGCTGAGATTTCTCCCCTCTGCCCTTGAGGAAGATCATGTTAGTCCTGATGGCCTTGTTAACATTATTAATGATGCCTCCTGCACTCCCTGACGCTGAATAGACCCAGGCGGCACGCTGCAGTAATGATGCAGTCGACCCTAACCGTGACAAACAACACATCAAAATCAGCGAGCGTCCACCTTCTGTTTGCAGAATATAAATCACACAACACCACAGTCTCTACATCAGTAAATTCCTACTTCATTTGAATTGTTTTTTCGTGAGCAATGATAAGCAAAATGCACAATGCCACGCTTGCATGTGAGTGTTATATCATCAGCTTCCTGTGTCTACTTGACTGAACTGTGACCATGTGGGACGCTCCACATGAAAATGACCCCTTACACTGTGAGTGTAGGTGACACACACACTAAAAGGACACACTCCCTGGTAGTCTGGCAGGTGTGAATCTTCATCCCAGACTGCGCTTGGTCAGAAGTGTTCATTAATGACACTCCCCTGCTGCCAGAAGAAGCAGGAAGCGAGCGCGCGACAAGTGGACGACAAATGAATCTGTCACTCCGTCCCACTTTCCCGAGTACTGTATATGCCTTCATCGGGTGCACTTCTTAAAGCCAGATTTATTAAAATGTGCAATCTTATTTTTCATCTTTTAGACACTTGAGTGTTTGAGCCAGTGTGTGAGCCGGAGCGGCGATTGCAAATTTCCTCCTTTCTGCCGCCATAGGAAGGAGTGACACCTCGCATGCGATGACCAGATGAGTGTGGTGGCTTAGATCAAAGACACAATTTCCTGTCAAAGGAAATAGCTCAGAGGAATTTTTTTTCAGGGACAGTTTCCTCCTTTCTAAATTCTTTCCATTACACTTATCAACATTCATATGAGCGAAAAGTAAAAGCATGTGAAAGTCCTCCACTGGAATCGGGCAAAAACGCTCCTGATGACACAGGGATCATTGGAAGCAGGCTTTAAAAAGGCTTATACAAAACTCGGACTGGTGACATGATAAATCGATTCCTTTCTCCTTGTGGATAATCTCTCTCGTTTGGATTCAAAATCTGCCTGCATCATGTCTCACAAGCGCTCATTTTCAACCTTAATATTGAACTCCACAGAACAGAGTGGGGCTCTAATAAAGCAAATGCACGGTTTCGATCTGCACAGACCCCTGACCTGTGGACAAGTGGAGGACATGCTCATTTGAGCGTGACTCTCTGTAAAGGTCACGCTGTGTCAGGTTCCACTGGGCTTGTGAGCTTTCTGCGCATTAAGGTGTATTTGTATCTGTATGTGCAGGACCACGGAGGAGAAGACAAACACCGCATCGTCATCTCATTTATGTGCAGAGCTTTGCAGGATGGGAGGACATTTGTGACAGGGGTCAGTAGCATAGTCACCTAAGCCACCTGAATCTGCAAGCACATCTTTTTCTCTCTATTCTGTTTACACCAAGCCTATAAGTCTTTACTATGCTATCGTTTGAAAGACTATACAGCTACAAATATTCCAAACTCAAGGTCGCTGAGTAATTTCCTAAAAAAAAAATAGCCAAAATTAAAATACTACTCATATTTTCAGCAAGATCAATACACATTTGGTGCTAGTATTTATGGCACCAGTGGGATTGACTTAAAATAGACTACACCCTACTGTACCTCACCTATACTGGATCAGGAGGCCATGGGTTTCATTAATACTTTAACTGAAAACCATTTACTTTTACAAAACACATCTGAAATAACATTGCAGGTTTCACAGACCTACATTACCTGATACCTGATATCTGATGATACTTCAGTGAGAGATTTTTTTTCATCATGCAAACCGTGCTGGTGGAACTGTATAACCTTCATCCAAAGTGAGCGGCATCATCTCCTCAAAGTCCTTAATGCAGCAAGATGAAAAGTCACAGAGAGACAGTCAGCAGATGGTGTCTCATCTCCGGAAGAATCTACCCTTTGGCCTCCAAACCGTTCTTCTCCTTCTGACCAATCAGGCTCCTCAGGTCCCTGTTGAGTGCGCTGGGCCCCCTCCCGCTCCGGCATCTGGTCCAGAATTTGAAATAATGAAGGTAATAATAATGAGCTTAAGTCTCCTCCCTCCAGGAAGGCGAGAGGTCAAACTACCTACGGAGAGTTCACACCCAACACATTCCACGCGCAGCTCGAGGATTCATCATCAGAGAGGCTGCACTCTTTCCACTTCAGATTACAGCTGAAGATAAAGTTACAGGATCATTCCAGTGCAACGCTGGGCCTATTGCTGGAGCTTTGGCCATTGTTACTACTGGTCATGATAACAGTTCTCACCAAAGTAAATGCTGAAAACGGGTTCATCACTACAACAAAGCCAACAGTTTAGCAATTTAGCAGATTATATAAACCACTTTATCTTGAGGTAAAACTAAAAGTGAGTACATAGAGTAAATAGCAAATTGTCATTGTACAGGAAAACCCTGCAGCCATCTCACCTAGTGGTTTATTTAAAAACTGATTAACTGACTCATTTTTTTAACACTTTTGACTTCTTTCTAGTGATGCTGCTATTTCTAAATAAAAAAATACTAATATTTATTGCTGCAGCTCATAAAATGTCTACTATACAGTAACTGAACTAAAAAGTGGAAGAAAACCATAGCCAGCAATAAATGAAATCACTGACTATGAACCATTGTGAGTCTAGCTTTGATCCCAGGTGACTTCAAATGACTCCTGTTTCCAGCCGGACTATTGTATTTGCCCGGCCCTCTGCTCGATTCCAGCCCAACTCATCGATGCATGAAGCAGATGATGAAGTAGTGCAGGAGTTCTGAGTATCTCGTCCTTTCTTTAAAACGGGTCAAGGCCATTTATAATGAAGCAGCAAGACAGGCCTTATTCCTTTTCACTGAGAGGACCAGAGGAGAGACTCTTTAATGAATCATAGTGAATCATTCATCTTCATACTGTGTTGTTCTCTTTGCTGTGTTACCTTTTCTTTACATTTCAGCACATGATGTAAGGCTCAGCTTTAGGGGCTCATTCAGAGTTTGAGAGAATAAGGCAGGATGGGACACAGGCAAATATGTCTCTCTAAATGAAAACTCCCTAACCTCATCATCCTATAAACAACCCCAGAAACAACAAAACAAAACTTCTGACAAGCCACATGGGTCGAGAGACTGATTCGTGGCCAGCTGGAGGACAGCGGAGCCAGCAACAAGGCTTCGGGACACTCTCTGCTCGGAGGCCCAGAGGAGGGGAAGTCGTGGGGGTGGTGGTGGTGGGACTATAAACGCTGGCAGAGCCGTGCTGTTGCTCCGTTTACAGTTGTAGTCAATTCGGACATCAATGGAGACACGGTCATGAAGACTTCAGAGGGGAGCTGCATTGTTGCGGTGGAGTGTTTTACATGAGCCTTTCTTTCATATGAGACAGGACTTTGTTGAGAGCATTTGTTTCTCATTTTCCACGAGTCTGGGGATCCATTGCGGTTATGCACCAAGAGGTTTTTGTTTAAATTTCAAGAGCATAAAGAATCCCATTATGACATGTGAACACATACATGTACAAACTCTGTGGTGGAACTGATAGATTACACAATTAAACGCAAATCAAATCCATTTGTACTATGAGTTTTATCTAAGTGAATTCTCCTCCCTTTCTGTCTGAGGACATTTAAACCGTAATGGTAGTGCAGCTATTGTGCTTTTTTCTCCATTTTTCAAAACAGGATACAACAGTTTTTGGACATTTTTGGAAACATCCCCCTTGGTGGGAAATTCCAGTGCCAGCAGTTGACTGACGTTTAAGGAGTGGCGTTGCTTGCTGTGCTGTGACAGTCTCTTCAATCCACGTACAGGTAATGGGACTTTGAAATTGTGCGCAGTGCATACGCCAAAGACCTATGTTGCATGCAGGTGATTCCCCAATCCTGGCCATTAAATTCTGAGGATTTAAGACGTCAGGTGGATGTTGTTGACAGTCACAGTTTGGTCAAGTTTAGGTGCAAAATCTATTTGGTTCGTTTTAGTAAAAGATCCTGATGTAAGATAACTTGTGTAAATAAGTTCAAACAGGACAAACCACACTGTCCGATGTGAAAGCCCTGGATTTTGTCAGCCTTTATACTACGTCACCTCATAGAAGTTAGTGGGAGGGATTAGCATATCAGGAATAGGAATATATCATTTCATTAGTGTATAACCCCTAAAAATAAGAACTTTAAATGTCTTCCTTTTCTAATCATACTGATTTCTTAGTGAAAATAATCACTTTAGTTTCAGATTGACATAGATAGATATTGATAGAAAGAGAAATAAAAGACACTATCTCAATACAGCTTCAACAATACTATGATTGTGTGTGTACGTAGGGTGCGCTTAAGCTTGTCGGTTCCAGCCTTTATGAAAGTGATATATGGGGGGCCAATTGGCTTTAATGGTTAGTTGTGCCAGCTGTAGTCTTCCCAACTCCTCTTCGCTTGCATCCAACAAGCAAGCAGGTGCAAACACAATTAGTCACATTGATCAAGTGAGCAGCAGAACAATGGGTAATACCCCACTGGAACCAATTCTGTGGTTTAGTCGCCACCTTTGCTGACCAGACTGGTTGGACATGATGGATAGGCTGCATACAGGAAGCTGGGAGAATGAAGTCATTGATCTCACATCATAAATATCAAGTCCATTGTTAAAAGAAGGAAAAGGAAGATAAGGGAGACCAAACTGTGTTTCATTGTCCTGTGCATGGTTTGGTTTTAGAAGTGGGCAACCAAATGTTACGCAGAATGTATAAGATGACTGTTTAGTGATGACAAATGTAAATGATGACATGTGTCCTCAGTTGAGAGAGACAGCTGTGTTTGTCATAGCATGCCAGTGGAGGGGGGTAGATGCCACTTTGTCTCTGTCGTCATGCTGCTCACTGTTGTGGTCTCTTCTTAACATGTGGAATTCTTCACAGATGTGGTGTTCACTTTTAAGGCATATTCCCTATCATGGCCATTAAACCCATGTAATGGTGCCAAGATGTTCCCGGAGACAGGAGGCGTATAAAATAAAAGGCCTGCTGTGCTGCAGAGTAACACTCTAAACGGAAAAGAAATACTTTAAATATGCATTCTGGATTCTGCAATAGCAGAAACCACATGCTGCACATACAGGAACATAAAGCTGTTAAAAGTTTTTAAAACTGCCTCCTCGATTGAAACCTCAGTGGTGTGACAAATGGCTTGTGGGAATACAAGACATGGCAAAGCAAAGTTGGAATAAAGATGTGATCTTTTAATCAGATATGTGTGACATGCAGTCTGAAAGAACTCTGTAATTGGAGCAATCTCTCTCTTTTTAACAAGCCACTCTTTTGCACTGAGAGTAATAGAGAACGTCTGGATGTATTTGTAGGGTTCCTCTCTTTTCATTGCATTCCTGCTGAGACAATCTTGCACAGCCTATAGCAAACAGACCATATATTTTTCAAACAGGCAGACTCATAAAAGGACAAAAAAAGCATGGCTCCTGATCCACACTTTAATGAGCGAAAACGGAAGTAATGACTTGAAGGGAATAATCTTTCTTTCTGCTCCGCCAGTTGACACCAATAACCCGTGGCCGGCGTAGTGCCCCGGCTGTGACACGTTGTGTAATCGCATATGAAATTTTCTCCCAGGATTTTCTCCCGCTGGCAATTATTAAGAATGATGACACTTTTAACAATGGCTGGATCAGAGGGCTCAACTTTGTCATCATGAGTGAATCCTATTACGCGGCAGCATAATGGCCATCTGTGAAGACAGACAGAGAGTGAGTATCACAAGGCATCTTTTTGCACTGGAAAACAAAGCTTAATTCAGGCGTCTCGCCATCCGAGCCGCCCTTTGTGTCAGCGTACGAGCCTCAATTGTTTTCCCCTCAGCGAGTAAATGCCCGTCTTAATGTGCTTCTGCAGAGGAATGATACCTGCAAACATTGTGAGCACCATCATTTCTGCTGTTTCATAACACACAAGATTACATTTGTGCTAAATGAGTGCACAGACACTGTGACTTTCTGAAGCTTTATTTTGTCATTACACATGCGGTAAAAATGGCTCCGTGTTATAAACATTTCTGGATTGCTATCAGAGGAGTTTGGAGAACATCTTGATAGGACTGAAGATGCTACTTTGGCTTTGAACAATGGTAAGCTGTTTCAGTTACCTCCAGGCCTCCTTTCCCCACCCCTTTCCAAATACCTAGATAGCCAGCAATTTGGGCAATAAACACTTTGAAGAATGGCAGCTTGCCACCCCTTCTCCCTGTCTGTGTTTGTCTCACTTTGCAGCATCAAAAGGCCACGGAGAATTGCTTTTGTAATGTAGCCACTTGGAAAAACAGGGATGACACATGTGACATTTGAGAAAAGAAGACTACCATGTTTTGTCTGGGTTTCATGCACGTTGTAATACAATTTAAACATGCATGTAAAATGGAAGGCTTGGGATTTGACTGAGAAACACATGAATTGACACACACATCTCTGGATGTCAGTGTTATTTAAGGAATTGCTCTACGAAAACAACTTTCACACTTTTCTTAGCGTAACCACCGATTGTAAAAGTATAGAAAAACCAAAAGGATGAGAACACTCTTTTTTTCTTTGCTCACCCCTCAACTGGTCAGAGCAAGCTGCTGAATGAAACAATGTAGCTGGTGTTTCAGAATCATCTGTATCTTATCATTGGAAAAAATCCCCTAAACAGAAAAACATGGAGAGCCAGACTATTCCTTCAAAGAGCCTCCAGAGCGGCTGTTGTCTTTAAGGAGGGAGGGGGATTGCTTTCAGCAGCCTCAGCCCGGGACTGGTTCTCATCATTTTGACAATAAAACTCAAGGAGTTGAAACAAAGCAACGTTTCATGAAAAAAAAAAAAAATGTGGGGGCTAGGAGATTTCCGCTGGTCTGTGCTGATTTGTCCCCCACCCCCCTCCCCTCCCATCCAATCCAACAGCAGAAGAGGAGCAGAGTGGTGATTTTAGGAGGGCTTTTGGAAAAGCTCTGGAGGCTTAATACCTCTCTGGCACCCCGGGGCTGAAGGACGGAGGGCTTGAAATGGTTCAATGGTGATTGTGCTTTAAATTCCCAGAGGTTTGTTTTTGTACTGTCAGAATTTTTATTGCAGCATTTTGTTGCTCTTTCACCAGCTAAACATGGAGATCTGACACGGAATAATGAATGAAAACGTGCCATGTGGAGTTCAGTTCAGATCACTCCATTGATTCAGAAACAACACCCATCTGACTTTAGGCACTTGCTGCTTTTGTGTGGAGATCAATGAACTCGCTTCACAACATTCACCTCCATTTGACTCAGAGAACGAACAATCTGACATATTCTGCATTAAAGGAGCGTATTGGTTGTGTAATGAGGAAAGATGGGCAGTGCATGCTTTAATCGACAAGGCAGAAGGATTAATAACGCTATTGTATGTATATATTTACAGACAAATCTGTACAATTTTTACATTTCGCTACTGATAAATGCATTAGAAAAGAGTCATTAGAAAACACACCAGAGGTGACTGTCCGCTCACATGTCACCGGTCGTAGAGACCTGTGATAACCTGGGGCCAGAGTCCAGCTCGAAGCGGTAGTGGTAGCCCTCCCACACCTCCCTGCAGGCGTCGCGCAGGTCGTACACCCGCTTCTTGATGCCCTTGCGGTTGAGATAAAGTACGAATAGGAAGATGAGGCCCACGAAACCCAGGACAATGCCCAAGAAGACGTAAGAGGTCTGCAAGGCAAGGTCGGCCCCTGCGTTCCTCTGGTGGCACCCCAGGGTCAGCGTGCCCACGGCAAGCAAGGATGTGTTCCTCATGCTAACCGGGAAGGCACACACCAGGTCCTCAGCATCCCTGATACGTCCCTGTGATCTGTTGAGCCACAGAGCGAAAGGTTCGATCCCGCACTTGCATGTGAACGGGTTTTCCCCCAGCAGAAGAGTAGTGCTGGGCAGGGAGTCCAGCTCACGTAGACCCTCCTCAGGCACCGTCTTGAGGGCGTTGAGCGTCAGGTCCAGCTCCTCCAGGCGCTCCAAACCCGAGAAGGTGGAGTTGTGGATGGCCACCAGGGAGTTGTTGGAGAGCTGGAGCCGCCGCAGGCTGGTCAGGTGGGAGAAGATGCGTGAGGGTAAGTAGATGAGGCTGTTGTCAGAGAGGTCCAGTCCCCTCAGGCTCCCCAGGGAGCTCCAGCGGAGAGAGGTGGCCAAGTCCATCACCGACGAGTGGTTGTAGAGGGCTCGGCTCAGGTTGAGCTCCCGCAGAGACTGGTTCTGCACGGTGAAGGCCTCTGGGTGAATGACCGCCAGCTGGTTGTTGCTCAGATCCAGAGAGCGAAGGCTGCGGAGCCCGGCGAAGGTGTGGGATTCCACCTCGGAAATTCTGGATTTTAAGAGAACCATGAGAGATCATTCTCACTTTCAAATCACATACAAGAGCAAGAAAGGAACAGGAACGGAGGTTTGCTGACATAATAACAGGACTGCTTTACTCTGGATCAAAACTAAAATAAAACTGAATGTGATTGTCATACTAATACACTTTGAAAGCCTGCAAAGCCCGTTTGTGTCATATCACCAAAATCATAAAAATCTGCTTAGCTGTTATATTTAGGGAACAATGAGTGAAAAAAGTAGTTCAGTCTGTAGGAACATTACAATAATGACAGTCTTACCTGTTATTGCTCAGAGACAGGTTGGTCACATTCTCCAGACCTTTAAAACACTCGGGGCCGATCCGACCGATTTGATTCCCAGTTATGAACAGATTCCTGGTGTATCCGGGGATCCCGGTCGGGATACTCCGCAGGTCTCTGGAGACGCACTTCACGGTGTGAGCCGCCTCCGAGCACTCGCAGCGCGGCGGGCACGACGCGTAAACGGAGCCGAGCAGCGCGCAAAAAACAATGCGCCGCGCCAAGTCCAGCATGTTGGAGAGGGAGTGTGCGGTCCGAGAGCGGCGAGCGGGAACGCAAAAAGAAACACACCGAAAATGTAGAAACGGAACGCTCAGCTCCTCCGAAACATCCTCCTCCTCCGCCGTCCCGGCTGGGAATGCGCTTCAACTTTGCATCTCTGCACGAAACGTGGCCGGGAGGCAGGGTCTGATTTCCATGAGAACAAAACTGGGGGTCGCGCTGATCAGAGGGGGTGTTTGATCCTGAGCCGTGGCAAAGCGGGGCGTCGCTTCTCCCGCAACAATGAAGTTAGAAAGGACCATCGCCTTGTTGTGTGATGATATGCGGGGAGGGGCTTCTCTCCTGCCTGCGCCCCGTCCGGATCCACGAGATCTTCCTCTCAGCCCAGAGGAGACAGTGCTGGCAGGAGAGACTGGAGAGGAGGAGAAAGTGGTTCAGATCTCTCTCTATCTCTCTCTCTCTTTATGCTTTTAACTGGCGTCGCTAATATTGCAGCCCCTCACACACTGAGCAAATGTGAAGAGTCTGGATTTTGGTTGTAATAATTCAAATACAGCAGGAGCTGTTTCCCTACAATAAAGTCCATCAAAGAGTTTAACAGCACTATGTATGGTTATGTAGTTCGTGTATGTATGTCATCTATTTTTGGTTTATATGAAAATGCTATTATTTATTAATGTGACTTTGCATAACTTTGACCAGTGGTGAAATTTATGCCCTGGTCATTCCACCTACCCAAGGTGGATGGTAAATGGGGGAGGGGGTGTTTTAGGGCAGACTACAAGCTTTATCCCCTTTTTCTTGGATAACATGATGCTCTGCAGGATAATGTCCACTGAGTGGGACTTCAAGTATCAAACTGTGACGGGGCTTCCTTTCCTTAATGTTTATTCTGAAGGTTAATAATGATCTATTAGCAGGATCGCAATCCTCAGGTGTAGTTTATAGAAAGCTTCAGGCAGGAGAGAGGACTGTTGCCTTTCATGGGGCTGCCAGACTTTGAATCCCAAGCAGTGATGCCCTCGCCCTGCATGGACAGCATCGAGTGAAAAACAGTCGTCATAATTAAGATGGAAGTTAAAAAAAAAAAAAAAAAAAAAAAACTGCCCACAATTCTCTACAATAATAAGACATCTTTATTGTATATCATAGCTCTAAGTTCATAAACATTCAGAAGTTCAGACAGTCACTTGCAGGAGTCTGGATTTCCACATAGATCACGCTGCAGTAAAAGATCATTTTTTTGGATTAGTAAACAAAGAGTGTGAAACTGCCAGACTCCCGTAAAGTACATAGTGGATAGCTGGCACTAATATAGTATGCCAACTTCTTTTGTGAAGGGACTTGAATGGCTAGGACCACAGGTCTCCACATTCTCGACCTTGGCCCTTGGATAAACAAAGGCAACCGGCAGCAGGCAGCTCTAAAACCATTCAAAATGATCTCTGCTGCATCTTGCAGCATGCCTCAATAAGACTGGTACCGTTTCTGTCTCCGTTCCTAAGAACAATTTGATATTATATGTCGTTATATGTCAGAAGCAGTACTGACGTGACATGTTTTTGATTTGATCAAACTGATCTCAAAGGGCAATCATTCGTCCTACTTTGCCCATGCTCCAAATGTAATGAATGAGCTGTTCCACTGAAGCTCAACAAGGACAGTTTGTCTCCCATTTTCCACATTCAGCGCAAATTACATAGAACCGAAGGGATCTGCGCTTTCTGTTGTTCTATGGAGTACTTTCCACAGCCAGCCCGCTCACTTGAGTTTGGACAGAGATTTAAAATGTCACTGCAGTTGAGGAAGTAATGAGACATATTTTTTTTTTTTTTTTTTTTTTAAACACTGCTTACTTAGTAACATCAAGTGGGCCTACCAGTCTGCTCTTGCGACCAAAGTCGTGATTTCCGCAATAATTTAGAAGATAAACATGAAAGAGTTTTGGGACATAAGCTCTTGATTTATGATAAAAGGAGATCTCTTCTTAGAGCCCGACGATCTTGTCACAATATTCGATTTATAGAGGGGAAGTTTAGCCACTAGTGGCACATTTGTGAATTTAATGCACCTGAATCGATCGTAAATAAACATAACATGATACATTGTCCACAATACTAGTTGAACGCTGCTAAGAACTGCTTTGTCTCTATCTACTGCTGTGCTCGTCACAGTATTTGTAAACTGTAGCGACACCAAGCATTAATAGAAAGGATAAAAGTTTTCATATCGTGCCACATCAGATACGATATACGCCCGATACCGGAGTATGTATGCGACAGGCCGAATAATATCGGCTGACCAATATATCAGTCGGGCTCTAGCCTCTTCACACTAGTTACTAGTGACATGGCTTCAAAAAAGTAAAAAGCGTCACAGTAAAAGGGTTAAATATTCCCCAGTGTGTTGTTATACAGACAGTATCCATTGTTCAGATTAATCTCCATTTCTTTCCTCGTTTTAATGCTTTAAGAAAATGACTCCACACTACGCTTACAGTAAAGGCTACTGCATCAAATCAGCATTAACCTAAGCAGGCCTGTTACAGTCTAATGTATTATTTATTCTTGCTGACGGTTACCAGCAATCACATAAAACTGGAGAGAGATTAAAAGAAAGATATGGAGTAATAAATATAGAAATCAATCACTAGGCTGCGATGAAATGCAGCTGATTAATAATCACGAAGCCACAGTATGAGTCAAACGGGAACTTTCTCTCTCAAACTCTCTTGCATGCATGCAATACACACATGCTGGCATGCAATCGCGTGCTTTCTCCAGTCGCTGTGTGCGTGACTAGCACACACACACAAACACAAGATCACACACTCATTCAGGCACGAATCTGCTTATTGTCGAGCAGAGATGATATGCAGAAATGGAGAACAAAAATGACATTAAATTATTCAAAAGAATATATCTGTAGACTGAGCGATCAAGTTTGCAAAGTATATAAAGAGCACCTGGTGCACAGTGTAATGTGTGTTCAGGTATTTACAGGCAACATGGGTGAAATACACACAAGAGGCCACAGAATATCTTCTTTCAACAGAAGCTCAATGTGAAGAGCAGTGTCTAGAAAACTGGCTCTATGTTAGCCCTACTGTTAAACCCTTCATACAGAAAATAAAAACTCATTTTAATTCATAAGCTCACACTTAAAACGTCATCTCCTTGAGATTATTGCAGGTTGTTGGCCAGTATATATATCAAAGCTTTGTGAAACAGTGCTGACATTTCACGATGACCTTCAAATCTGATCGGCAGAGGTGGGAACCAGCGGGAGCAACGCTGGTCAGGCGCTGGGGGAAAGTGGGGATATTCAGCCGGGGTTGGCGAGTGTGAAAAAACCTGAGGATCCTGGCTACCTGCTGCTTCTGGCAGCACCGCGGACAAAGAGAGGGCTCAACACTTTTTTTCCTGTTTGATTGCAAACAATGAGGGGATTTGAATTTGCTCACGACAGCCATGGCAACGGATTTCGAGGTGCCAACCATTGCGTGGAATTAACTTTTTTTTTTCTAATATAACTACAAAACTGAAAATATAAAACATAAGGGATCTGTGAAAGAGGTCATTTGTAGGCACTGACTCTTGCTTCTTCCCGTAAAGTCAAAATTAGTGATGAAAACAAAAAGATCAGATCAGTTTTCATGACTGACGTCAGGCTTTCCATTCAATAACGTAATGAGCTGTTCCACTAAAGAACAAGTTAAAATATTTAAGGACACAGTTTGTGTTGGTCTGCCATTCTCCTACATTTGGCACGAGTATAAAAAAGCAATAAGGAGCGTTACTATTCAGTTGGTATTTTCCACAGCCACATTCATTGAGGTTGCTACAATCATTGCACTGATGATCTGTAGTTAAAGGTATGAAAACATTCATCGTAAACCTATTACAGTCGTACCATGAGGTGATACATGTAATGCATGTACAACATATCTCTGAGAAAATATTTCTGTTTAGAAGATGCAGACTTGTTGATATCCTACGGCGTTAAGACTAAATACAAGTAAGAAAATATTTAGGTTTAATTTGCAGTATTGTAGAAGAGCTACATTAGATCAAGCATGAAATGCAATAAATTCCCTAGAAAGGCATCTAATTGATTTAACATGTTTGTGCTCCCCAGTATAAAAATGGCATTCTGGAAGCACAGAACCATGGGATTACACTCCCAGTCCATTACAAAGTAAGGTCATCAAAATCTAAAAGCAAGGCATGGATGTGTTTCCCTCAGAGAATTCAACAATGTACATACCTCTATTCAACTATTAATACAGCTACACAACTTGTACACTTTGCAGGTGGTGTGAACCTGCTGTTAGGCTTTCAATAATCATAATCCATTAAATGTGATGTGTGGTTCTGGTAGGTGTGGTGGTGGCGTTCAGTCACTTCTCTCCAAATAAATGACTGAATGTGAATGACTTTCCATCCCTGGGGCGTTCCAGCTTTGCCACTGGAGCACTGCCAGCAACAGTCCGCCTAGCATGTGTTGGTATACATGTGTTGGGACATTCCTGTTCAGCAATCTTCTCTTGGAGGAGAGTAGTCTTTATCTCCTCGGTTCCCCTTCGCTCAACACCGTGTGATGCCCCCCTTCCCCCTTTTTGTCTAAAAAAAGTCACCCCCGCATCCTGCAGGGGTTCCACCGCGTCCTCAACCTGCCTCCCAGGTCACCGCAGGTTGAGGGCCAGGGCCACTGTAAGGATGATGCCCATCAGCATCAGGAAAGGCAGCCAGGTCTTCAGGAAGCCTGCACAGCTGGATGAGACAGATGAAAGTGAGGAGAGGAGCACGGAGGGGGTGATGTGCAAAAAAAAAAAAAAGAAACAGGGTCATTTTTGTATGACCCTCCCCCCACACACAGTCCTTAAAATGTTAATAACCCTGCACTTGCTGTTCCCATAACAACCATTTCAGTACAGACAATATGTACTGATGTTAACTTTTCCATGTTAAAACCCATTCTCCCCTGCTGGGAGGGAAACCAGTAGCTGCTATGAATAGACTGTTATGATGTTAGAAGGAAAGTAAAGTCATCAGAGTCAGCAGTGATCTGACAGTGTGTGGACGCTGAAATGTGGTCAGAAGTTGTTTCCCAGCGCATTAAAGTGGGGCGACACAGAGGTGACGTTAACATTAAACAAAGCCTCAGGGCACACTCAACTGACTCCTGGTCTGATCCTACAGCAGCATTTGTCAGCCACATCTTGGTTTTATTGTAAGTTTCATTCAGAAAAACTACATGCTTGGTTTGTTAGAAAGTATCTCTTTGGGTTGCTTCTCTGTAGTCCCGGGCTGTCTGTAAAAACGGATTCTTTTATTGGATCTGTGCAGCTGATTACATGACAGCTCTTCAGTATTTTAATGCACGATGGCAATAAGCCAAGTGGCTATAGAGGGAAGTGAGAGTGCAGACTTCAATCGTCTCGTCTAATCAATTCCTTTACTTTCAATCACCAGAGAGCTAATGGGATGTGTAGTCCATCCTTGTAACACCAGCATTCAAGGGGCTTGTGGAGGAATGTCCTATATACACTCTTAACACTGCCCAAGAATCAGGTCTCTCTCTCTCTCGTGTCCTGAGACACAACAAGTTCAAGGCATACCAGTGAAATCATGCTCGAGCCCCTGGGATCCCAGTGAGAACCTCCTTCACAAGCTTCAGCCCTACTTCTAATGGTGGCTTTGAAGAGAGCAGCTGTAGATTACTGGTATATAGGCACTAGTGTGTGCCTTTAAGGGAAATGAAATGCTGATATTTATGAACAGAAAATCCTAATTGGCAATTTTCTGTGCCACTACTTAAATATTTAAAACCATTCCCAAAAAATGCATGTTGTCCAGAATAACTATACTGATACTAGTATTATTGCACCTCCCTAAAGGCAATGAGTCTTTTCTACTTCTCTACTTCTCTAGTCTTACCACTGCAACTGCAGCACCTTATCATAGCAGGGTTGCCACTCTTTAAGAAATCATTTTCCAGGACTTGTCTTGACGAGAATGAAAATGGTTGTTGCACGCACAATTAACATTTCTGTGCATGTATTCATCAACCACAATAACAAGACACTGGGCTGCTTTTGTGACAATACTGCTTGTAGCTCCACAAAAAACAGAGCCGAAAAGTGTCAAACTGCCTACAACGTTCTGTATGTAACAATGTGGTAAAATGAATGAAAATGTTCTTGAAAATACACAGGTGAATGATGTGGTCATCCTCATTACTCACTACACAGTTAATGCTATAAGAGAAAACTGCTCTACAGTGCAGGCAGATGGTAGGAGCACACAGGCACATCTTTCATTGGGCTGGCTCTGCTACAGCACGACGGATCTGAAATCAAACAATGACTACAAGTTTGAAGTGCTGACTCTTAACATCCATTTGATGGCGTTTAATGTCTGAGATACAACACAGAGACGTGAACAGGCACTTTCCTGGTGATGCTTTCAGGGGCTTCAGCAGGTGGACCCACCTGTTTAGCTGGACTGAGGTCAGGTGACTGATGCAGCCAGTCAACAACATGTCCTACTGCACTGCCCAAAAAATGGTAAACTGCACGGTTTTCCTACAATATATGTCTCAAACACATTAACAAATGTTCAACCTCATAGTTATCACTTCCATTTCATTTCAGATGCACTGGCTTAGATTAGAGCCACAAGAATAAAAAACATAAGTGTGCTAATGCTTTCTGTCTGGACTGCAGATTCCCTGAGACTGTGCAGCATTCACGCTGGCCAGAGATTTGGTTTTTCCATGAAAAAGTAGAACTATTCAAAATGATTCCTTTTTATGTTTTGTGCTGCAAGTCAGTCATGTATTTTCATTTTAAATCCACCCTTGGGACGGGTAGAGAACAACAAGCAGAATTAAAGCTGTTATCCATTATGTTTGTAAATTAATGTTAATGTAATGTGTGTGTGGCGGATTTTCTAACAGAAAAAACACACAAAGCAACTGTTGTGTTTGTTGCCGTGGCTCTCTGTATTCTGCAACTAACAAATGGTGATTGGCCTGCGGAGGGTCACGCCTGTTTTGGTTCACAATGCCAAATGAGTCTATTGAGAGCGGAGCTGATGTGATTTACGCCATAATTACATTTTGACACACTGAGATCAACAATATGATTCCAGCGCCATCCCAACAACTCAACCATCTTTGCCGTAGCTGGAACATTTTTGGTCTTCTGTACCATATAACTCCAGCAAACTGTGCTCCCACAGAATGGACATGTTGTCCCGTCTTACCTGACATGTTTTCCATGGATCAGAGCAAGGAGGCAGAGGTTGACCATGTTCCACGAGGTGCTGTTTTCATATCGCATCAGATTCAGAGCCATGGCGACGTGTGAGTGACAGTTGTCACAGCAGAGGTTGTGCTGTGGAGGAAACGGAGAGCACAAATCATGACTGGCGTTTTCACTTTTGTAAAGTAAAATAACAGACAGGTGAGCAAGAGCACTTATTTACCATCCTGTGTTTATACTCCTCCGAGGCATCGTGCACCGCAGTGTCCCAGGCATTGGAGCCGCTAGCGTAGACTTTGCTGACGTCGAGCATCCAGTACCTGCAGTCAAAGACAAAAACTAAGTGGGCTGTTGTGTAGGACAGGTGGAAGGTACCAGGTTTGGTTCTCACTATTCCTCTGTAGCAATGTGTTCATCAGTGTAACGGTGTAATCCCTACAGTCCAATACATTTTCATTTTCTTACTTTGTTGGTCTTCCAAATGCCATGTTGTCCTCCTGCAAAAAAACAGAAAATGTTTATTGCTACTTATTATTTCAGAAGAGGCTAATTGATCGTCATTGTACCTTCTGTTTTCACTAAGAGCAGAGACAGCTTCATCATTCGGCCCAAACCTGTGCAGCTCAATACTTGGCAGTAAAAATCTAAAATCAGGCCTTTGAAAGATTTTCTAACTCAAAAAACCAACAATCTCAATCTGTCTCAATCACATGTGCACTGACAGGCGTTTGGGTTCCTTGGAAAACAGAATATGCAGTTCAGATGGTTTGGATGGTGGAATTTAGGAAATGTACCTCACATCCTGTTTGTCTGTATTCACCATCAACTTTGTTTGTGTGAGACGCCCAAGTCAAAACTATGAAGCTGCACATTGCAGCACCGCTATCTGGATGATCGGGTTCTCTGTTCCTCCGTACTGAAGAACCTTGGAAAACAGTTAACAGAATTTGATCCCCTTATACCCCGCTACACGTTTATGCATCTTCCCCAGCAGCTTTAGTCATGTGTCAAGATTATTATGATAATCGCGTAGTATTTTTGACTTGGGAATCTTCACAACACTTTGTGTAAAAATGACCCTCAATTGCTCTGAGGGGAAAATTTAAGAAATCGTTAAATAGTTTGGTGGTTCTAAATGTGGTCTGTCATACTTTGGGGTCTATCGGATTTGGTTCTCACACATCAAGTTTTTTGGGACCACTGTGGTTGTATGTTGTTGCAGTCAGATCGGATAGACTTCAAAGTTGTGTGTAACAGCTGTGTTTTTTGGAGAGGAAACCGCACTGGCTATGGTTTCTTTCCCAGCAAAGACCCAATGTGTGCAACTTACAGTGGGAACGTTGGGTGAAAGTGAATTATTGTATCTAGGTCAAATGAAATATCGTTGCTTTTCTACACTGCAGTCACTTCCAAATTTCGAGCACTTTTGTATGCATACAAAGGCAGCCCCCTCAGTCATGTGAACAGGATCACACAGGACACCGGCAAAACGACGCCAGATTGCCTGGAAAAGTTTAACCTGGCTCAACGTCTGCCACAACACAGCATGACCCCACTGGACAAGGCGTTGGCCAATCAAATACATGCGAGCACACCATCCTGGTAGAGGACTCTGTAACATGAACGCAGTATTTCTACTGTTAACTTCTTGTGAGAAAAGATAACACAATTAAGGCCAGAGTTGTAGAGTCCTTCCTCATAGACCGCTGTGCAGTGTGTTCGTGCCTGTTAAGCTTTCAAACCTCATGGATCTATTACCTAAACTAGACTTCCTGGATCATATTTCATGATCTCACTGGTACCTGAACCAACAGCCCTACCAATCAATGCACCTTGTAATTTAATGCAGGGCTGCTTTTGGTCTGAATGTGCACTTATTTTAAAAAAAAAGAAAGAAAAACTCTCTTTCTGCTTACCGAACCTCCTTTAAGATACTGCACCTTCATCTGCACATATTGTTACAGTTTGTGTCCACTGTTTATGAAATGGCTGCTGCAACTACATAAGGTTACAAGCTACAAACTTAAAAGTTGTGTTATTTAGGCAAAAAAAACACAAGAGTTTAAAACATTCTGAAAATATAGATGGAGAGCAAAGAGGTGGATTATTCAGCAGGGGTGGTTTGATAAGTGTCCTTTGTTTTGCAGTGAAACAAGAGCTAGCACTGGAATCTGTTGTTAATGCCTGTAACTGCCTCCCTCTGAAGGAGCAAGTTATACACTTCTCTACTTCCAAGCTGAACGGGTTTGATGTTTTCAGGGGACTACCCCCTAAAACTTAAATTCTGCCCTTTAAGCTCATTCTCAGTCTAACTCGACATCCATTGCGTTGAGCCGCTGCACTGTGGCTTCGTTTCACATACAGGCTCTAACATCCTCTCAAAACTGACTTATGCAAACCTCACAGGACCACAGTCATTACTCACTGAGACAAAGTAAGGTCCAGCAAAGTCCCGGATGACACCAGTGGAGGTGCAGATTCCCATGTGGCCAATGAATGGAAGCAGCCATCTGGACAAAAACACATGCACGTTAACATCACAACACTAAAATTGTTTTCTTTTTCTATCTTTCCCCCCAGGGGTTACTGTTACTGTTAAATATACAGCACTCATTAAACTTATTGTGGAGCTATGGCTCAGTTACATGTATAACATAACTGTGTTGTAGTTAAAAAGTAACAACAAATTCACTTTTCCCAAAACAACCTCTGGTTCTCAAACTGAAAATCTTCTAGTTTCAAGTTCTGTTGTCTTCATACTTCATCCCCCCCTTTAACAGCACACTGTGCATACACACGCATTCACACAATATCACTCCAAATGAAAGTAAAAAGCATGATTTTGATACTTAGCATGTTGGAAAACTGAAAACAATATGAAAGTGTATCACTGACAAATAGTATTGCGGGAATACCATGAGCACATGGGAACGTTTGAAGCCAAATACATTCACACTTTAAGGCTGATGTCACGCATAGTTTTCGGGTTGTTTTTGTTTCCCGTTGTGTTTACTTGTTGTTACTGACGTTAAAATGTTCGCCCAATTATATAGCTTGTGCACCGAAATGCATTTATATTTTAAACTCATGACTCCGACTCTCGCTCACAGCAACGCCACACTAACACACAGATTCCCGAGAAGAAATCAGCAACAGGACGCTACTGGAGCACATCTGCTAGCTAGCTAGGCTAATAACGCTGTGTCCCGAGTGGAACAGTGGACGGCGATAACTCACGACAACACGGGGATGGGCGTCCACACAATACAGTACGGATAGCGACTGGTCTCTGGGTTTATTTTCTCGGACGCTATGCGGTAATTCTTCATGGCGTCTTTATCAACAACATCCGCCATCACCAGCTGTGGAAAATGAACTTCATTTGTCCCACTTACAGCTGCGTCAAGTCAGCCAAACACACGGAAGAAGACCGGGAATTGTGTGACTTTAGCGTCAAAATAAAATGTAATACGTGCCAGTTTTGGTAATAAATGTGGCTAGGTAGAGGGATAGGTACATATTCTGTATTATCTTAACATCTTTGGAAAAAAATAAGAGGAAAAATAGATACTGCCTCATTATATAGTTAGCAATACAATATGCTAGTTTAACGTGGGTTTTACTTTGAAAGGAACAGTTGACAGCTCTTTCTCTTACTGGAGATAGCTTGATACTTTTGTCTGCCTTGGCAGCAGCTGTAGCTTCCGGGATCTGTGAGAGAGAAAGAGGGATCAGTCTAGTAAAACTTTAGTCAAACGAGCCACTAATTTACTCTAGCCTTTAAGGGCTGAGGGTCAACAAACAAAAACAAAAGCAAAAACATATTTCACACTTCAAGCACGACAACTGACATTATTTTTAGGTACTTTTGTCCACAGTAACTAAGCTGTTTAGTGGGATTATAAAGTAGATTACATTGAAATGTTTGAGTTGATGACTGTTTGGTTAAAGCCATTCAGTCCAAGGTAGTTTATAAGTCTCTCATTCAAATATCAATATACTGCACATTTCCAGAAATATATGGATTATTTGAAGATAAAAACAAAAATGCTTAAAGTTGACTGTTTAAAATCAGTTTGCAAAATCCATTTATTAGAATTATGAAGGTATAAAATATGATAGTCTAGCACACAGCAATAATTTAACAAATTAGTGAAATGTGTTTAAAGTTTTAAAGAGTAAGTTATGGAAAGTTTGGGCTATTACATGATACAGCCTATGATTATATAATTTTTAAAGCAAAACAACAAAACATCTGGTTCCAGTTTCTTCATTGTGAGGATTTACTGCATTTCTCAGTTTTATACCACTGTAAAATGAATAGCTTTTGTTTTTGGACTGTCAGACAGAACAAGACAATGAAGATATCACCTTCGGCTTTAGGAAATCGTGATGGCCATTTATTACTGTATTCTGACATTTTGTGGACCAAACACTGACTAATCAAGAAAATAATTGGCAAATTAATCCGTAAATTAAAATAATCAGTACTTTCTGCCCTAGCTACTTATCATTCTGACTTCATAGATGTCAACACCTAGAATGTGGATTTACAAAAGCATTGTAGACATTTTGTTACATAAAATTATGTTTATGTTTCCTGACTTTTTTCCTGTGCATTCTTTAGGCTGTTTAAGTAATTCCAACCACATTATCTGAGAAGGAAAAAAACACATTGACTGCTCACAACTCATGTCCACACTAGGGCTAAGGTAAGTATAGACTGATTCGTTTTAAACGGTTATGAGCCAACACGTTTGGAAACCATCAGATGTTCAATGAACACAGAGAAACTTTCCACT